TAGTGGGTAGTGGGAAGAGGATTAGGAATCCCTTAAAGTTATGGCAAGGGATTTTTTTTCTCAATCTTATCAGAGAAGAGGGTATAGGAAGGAATGGAGGCAGACAGAGGTTATGTTTCCTGAGGTGAGTAGGGAGGATTAGGGGTTTGTAGGTCATGAGGTGAAGGTTGAGGAGATTAAAAAAGCAATTTTTTTGATAGTGACCTTTAAAGCCCCTAGTGAAGATTGTTTTCCTGCTTTGTTTTTTCAGAAACAAAGGGACTTAGTAGGGAAGGATGTATGTGAGTATGTTAGGAAGTTGTGGAGGGGGGAGGTAGATATGAAGGAAGTAAATAAGACGTTACTAGTGTTGATTCCTAAGGTAAACAATCCAAAGAGCTTACGTCAAATAAGGCTAACTGGTCTCTGTAATGTGCTCTATAAATGTGTTCCTAAAATCCTTGTTAGTAGAATGAGGGATATGATGAGAAGGTTAATAGCTCCTAACCAAGCCAGCTTTATTTTTGGGCGCCATATTCATGATAACATAGTGATGGCTCAGGAGGTAGTGTACTTAATAAGACGGATGAGCGGGAAGAAAGGATTCTTTGCCATTAAAATCGATTTAGAGAAAGCCTACGATATGTTGAGGTGGAGCTTACTCCAAAAAACTCTCTAGGAAGCTGGTGTAGAAGGAAGTTTGTTGGACTTGTTAACGAGTTGTGTTTCTATAGTTTCAACCCAGGTAATTTGGAATGGGAACAAAACAGATAGCTTTAAGCCTTCTAGGGGACTAAGACAGGGGGACCCCTTCTCTCCCTACTTGTTTGTGTTGGCCATGGAAAAACTTACTCACCTTATTCAAGAGAAGAGGAGGAAGGGGGAATGGAATGCAATAAGGATGGGTCGTAGGGGTCCGAAAGTCTCTTACCTAATGTTTGCAAATGATTTGCTTTTATTTGGGGAGGCCTCAGAAAGTTAGATACAGGTGACTCTAGAGTATCTGGAGGAATTCTGCATGTTATCAGGACAAAAAGTTAATAATGGTCAATCTGCTATTTTTTTCTCTAGGAACAGTAATGTGGAGCTGATAAATAAGTTGACAAGCCTATCTGGTTTCAAACATACAGACGATTTGGGAACTTATCTAGGAATCCTTCTTTGTTATGGGAATAGTAGAACGCGTGGTTTTGACTATGTCTTGAGTAGAGTCAGGAAGTGATTGGCAGGATGGAAAATGAAATGCCTGAGTATGGCTGGAAGAACAACTTTGGCTTGGTCAGTGATCAGGGCGATTCCAATATACCCTATGATGGTCTCCCTACTTCCTAAAAGCTTGCTGGAGGAAGTTGAGAAATTCCAATGCAATTTTATATAAGGGAATGAAGTGGATAAGAGAAAATTATATAATTAATTGGGACCAACTACAGAAACCCAGGGAGAGCGGTGGCTTGGGCATTCTTAATCTAAGGGATATGAATGCAGGTTGCTTGTTGAAGTTAGCATAGGGGTTAAGAAGTGGAGAAGAAGGCTTTAGTTGCAAAGTACTTAAGCACAAGTATGGATTAGGTAATTAGCTTCCTTCAATCCTTGATGCTCAGAGGTCAGCGTCAGCGCTCTGGGCAGACTTGACATCGGTTTGGGATCATATTAGCAGGTTCTCGTGGAGAGGAATTGGAGATGGGAAATCGACTAATTTCTGGAAAAAGGAGTGGATTAAAGAAGGCGTTTCTCTTAAAAACTTCCTAATTAAAGAACTCGATGATGAAGAAGGGGAGTAGAGAGTTGCCAATATGGTGTCCTTAGATGGTGATTGGAATTGGGACAAAATCTGAAAGGTAGTGAATAAAGAAGTTTGTGACTTGATTGCAGCTGTAGTCCCTCCAATAGGAGAGGAAGAAGACTGGTGGCTATGGAAAGGTGGGAAAGACGACTCGTATTCAGTACTTGATGGTTACAGAGCCATTAGAGACGGTAATTTGGGGGAGAAGGACCCAAAATAGAAGACGATTTGGAAATGACAGGGCCCTAAGAGAATTCGTTTATTCCTATTATTGGCCACTCATGATCGATTGCATACCAATAGTTTAAGAAGGGATAGGTAGGGAGCTGATGGTCATTGACAGGCGTGCGGAGGATTGGAAACAACATCACACGTCCTGTGAAATTGTGTGGTAGCAAGGAAAGTTTGGGACTTTGTGTACAGTTCAACCCAACAAATAAACTCGACAGAATCTCTCACGAGATGGCTCATTAGAAATCTTACCAATGAAAGGCATATGGGTGGCATACCTGGGACCCTGCTTTTTGGGGTGACTTGGGGTGACTTGTTGCAAATTTGGAAGAGCCAAAATAAAGCTATCTTTTTAGCTACCCCACGAGACCCAAGGGGAATAAGGATGAGAAGTTGGGCTTTTGTAAAGGAATGTTTGAATGCAAGAGGAATGAGGAAATTGACCAGGATAAATCGCAAGAGTAGAGAAGTGCTATGGTGTCCTCCTATTGAGAGGTGCGTCAAATTGAATTCGAATGGAGCGTGTAAGGGAGAACCCGGCATGGCAGGGTGTGGCAGTTTAATTAGAGATTCGAAGGGTGAATGGATCTGCAGTTTTGTGAAGAAGATAGGTAGCTATGGGGTTCTTGAAGCTGAGAGCTGGGGCTTGAAGGAGGGTCTAGATTTAGCATGGGATCTGGGCTTCCGAAAAGTAGAAGTGGAAGTGGATTTAGAAATCCTGTTGAAACAAGTTAAAAGGAAGGGAGTTATTTGAGCAGTCTAGATAGGCAGATCAAAGATTTACTAGATCAAAAATGGTGGATTCGAGTCGTAGCAATCCCTCAACAAGCTAATAGAAGTGCAAATTTCCTAGAAAAACTCAAATAGGATATGAGATCTAGAAGAAGGTTATGGTTTCAACCACATCCTATGTTGAGATCGAAAGTGGAAGAGGAAAGCTTACTATTCGAGGAGGCACATGCCAAGACTGGGGAAGGTTAATTTGTTTTTCTTTCTTTTTGAGCCTTTGAGCCCCACTGTATTACCCAATAAAAAAGCTTATAGAGATGTTACAGGTTTCTATCTCAAACAAGAAAGATATATCTTGAACATGTTAGACAAGTTCAGTATGAGAAGTTGCTCTCCTTTACCAACTCCTATAGTGGTAAGTAGACACTACTCCAGAAACAATGGGAAACCCTTGAAGAATCCTATAGTTTATAAATAAGCTGTTGGAGCCTTACAGTATCTAAACAATACCAGACCAGACATTGTTTTTGCAATAAACAAACTAAGTCAATTCCTTTAAGCTCCTACATAAATCCACTAGCAAGCACCCAAAAGAATCTTTCATTACCTGAAGGGAACCACTAATCTAGCCCTGCATGTTCGACCAAGCACACATCTCAAACTTCAAGGTTTTTCCGATGCTGATTGGGTCGTGCGTCTGGATGACCGTCGTTTAATTGGGAGGCTATTACGTCTTTCTTAGTGATTCACCTATTTCTTGGTCTGCAAAAAAACATGTAGTGGCTCACTCTAGCGCTGAGTCTAAATACAACTCATTGGCTAATTTAGCAGCAAAACTCGCCTAGCTCCAATCACTGATCGGAGAATTTGGATGGAAATTGAAGACTCCGCTGATAGCTTGGTGCAACAACTTAAGTGCTTTAGCCCTAGCTTCTAGTCTTGTCTATGATGATTGCTTAAAACACATTGAGCTTAATGTTCATTTTCTACGAGATAGAGTTCTTGACAGGAAGCTTTCAGTTCGATACATCCCTTCTTCAGATCAAATAGTGAATCGTTTAACCAAGGCTCTGTCTCATTCCAAGTTCTGGGCTTTCAAAGAGAAATTGGGCATTGCAATTTCACCTGGGCCTAGTTTGAGTGGGCATGTTAAGTTTAATGTTAAGTTTATCCCGGATTACTTCATAAGCCTAATAGGCTAAAGCCCACTAAATAGCCCTGTAACATTTATTATCCTGGATTCTTCCATGGTACAGAATGTATAGTACATACATGGCACTCTCTTATGCATTCTAGGGTTTGCCACCTTACCTATTTATTAAATAAAAAATACAGTGAATAGTGTACCTCATTTTACACATTTCCTTTCTTATAAAAGACTTTTCTGGAAGCAAGCCGACATTCTCACCAAAGTCATTAGCAACACCAAGCAAAGTAACCTAATGCTAATTAAAACGCAGAACGATTTAAGAGAGCGAGCATAGAGAAGAAAAGAATACCCATTTACTATTGCAATTTAAACCAAAACCACAGCTCCCAGACCCACCTATGGAGGCCTAGACCCTTGTTTTAGAGGAAGGGAGAGAAGGGATCGGGAAGGAAGTTTCAAAAAGAGAAAAAAAGAATGAGGGCGAGAGGAAGGGTGAGAAGGGATGGGGGGAGAGGGAGAGTGAGAATGAGGAAGATAGGAAGGGTGAGGAGGGATTAGGAGGGAGAGAACGAGGGGGAGGGGCAAAGTCATGTTGCCATGGAAGCAATCAAAGTCAAAATTAACAACCATAAAGGTTAATTATGGACATTTTTGTTACGAAATAAAGCTTCCAAAACATATTATAGCTAAAAATATCCTTCTCAATCCTAGTAATCCTTCATGTAAAGTTTTAAATCTTATCTCATTTTAAATTATTATTATAATAATATCTCAATTTATCTTTCTACAATCCACTATCATAAAGCATCATCAACTAATATTAATTCAAGTATTGTTAAATCCTTTTTATTTGATCTAACTGCTATTAAGTTAACAATAGCGTGTAACATATGGCATATATCTATTATGACAATGGCAAAAAAAAAAAAAAAAACCCTATCTAATTTAACAATACTCAGATTATTTGTTAATTTCAAAAATTAAAAGTACAGGCAACAAATTTATAATAGAATATTTAATTTATATCCAAACAAAGCGCCATGGGAGGACATGAGGATAATGTAAAAGCCACGAGACAATTCCAATTTGATGCTCTGTAGTTATGTGCCATTTCTCTACCACTTTCAATGGGGGGAAAAATTGTCGGGTTTTCTGGGTTCAGTTTCAGTAGAAAAATGGAGGTATAACCAGTAGGAACTTTCCGGGACCTCAACCCAAGGGTATGAACAATTGAATGAATAGACTAAATAATGATACAAGTAATACGTACATCTAGTAGTACATGTAAAGAAGCTACTTTTACTATGAAGCTTACATCAGGTCCTCCTATACTACTGCTCTTAGTATGTGAATGTGCTACAAAACTGAGGTCTCTTTATAGACAAGAAAGTGATAGATATTAGCTGCATGAATGAATGAATACTCAATCAAGCATTTGTACAGCCTTTTATACACAATTAGCCGAAAGCACAAGCCGAGCCAACTCCTTATAGCCCAAGGATGAGAATCACATCTTGTGTTAGCTGTGTTTTGAACTTCATTCATTCTTCATAGAGCTACAAGTTGTCTTCAATCTCATCAGGTACATGCAATTTCTCAATTGCAGCCTATCATGGGAAAATTAACAAGCAGTCAAGTTGGATAAGCATAAGAGAGAGCATAAATTTAAGGACCTAATTGTAAAATTAGGATCATGAGACAAATTTTTTGACTAAAAAAAAATGATTTAAATCTTGTGATTATCAACCTGAGGCCACTGAGGTTTTGACAGCTTGAGGAAATGTTTTACTCAACTACTTGCAAGAAATTCCTTCTGGTTCTAAATTTTGTATATTTGAGTTCAAGGGTTGTTTTGTTCATGTAGTAAAGTGCTAATTTTATAGTTGAATCTCAGTTCAATAAGGTAAGAAGCAATTTCTCCTCATTAAAGGAGAAATGACAAGTTTTAGTGCTTCCAGCCTTCCACCTAAGTCCTAATCACAATCAGATAGATTGGTAAACTACGGAAATGGTTGGCAATTTGCAAAGGATTTGGTGTTGTAAGAAATTACCTTGATGGCAGCAGCATCAGTTGCAGACGGTTTCAAATCCAAAGCCATACCATAATGAAGCATTGCTCTCTGATGCATGTTGCGCCTCTTGTAGATCTTGCCCATCAAAGCATAGACACTACTTTCACGAGGGGCATACTCTTTAAGTTCCTCTAGGACTTCCAAAGCTTCGTCAAAATTTTCCAAGCTCATGAGTATATTGGCCTTCTGATACATTGGAACAGGGTTTTTCTTATCCGCTATAATAGCCCTCTCCATGATCTTCAACGCTTCCTCACTTCTCTATCAAATCATACAAGTATAATTTCAGAATGCTAGATATAAAAATTCAATCATGGAAAGCACTCCTAAAAATAGCCGCAAGAGATTAACCTTTAAAGCATGCAAAGCAGTACCAAGGTATGACATTATAACAGAAGAGCGAGGATTAATTTGGAAAGCCATCCGAAAATGATGTTCAGAGAACTCAAACTTCTCCTGGCGAAGATATATCATCCCAAGTCCATACCAGGCATTGTAGTGTCTTGAATCAACACTGAGTGCACTCTGGTAGCACTTAATTCCATTCTCAAAATCTTCAAGCGCTACATACCTACAGGCAACAAAACACTGGACGATAGAGTTGCTGAAAACATATGAAAATTACGTAAGATCCTGCATAAAAGTAACATGGTCATACTCATGTCCACAAAGGGTGTGTGCATAAGCAAATCTGGGATTCAGTTGAACGGCTCGCTGAAAATTCTTTAGTGCAGTTTCGTGATCTTTCTGCAGGCTGTAGCAATTACCCATGGCGCACCTACCAGAGCATTCAATTGAACAGAAATAAGGTTAATGCAGGAGCCAAAAAATAGACAAAGCTTTCTATTTGAGCCAGACAAAATATGTTTGCACTAACATCAGTAGCAGCAACAAACAGATAAAACCCTTGTGCCTTAATACTGTGGTGCCAGCATCACATCACAAAAGAATAATGCACATTTTCGTAATTGCATTTGAAATTTTAGCTTCCAGCAGGGAGAGAAAAAGATGTCGTTTTAAACCTTTTGGCAATATGAAGAAACATCACTGGCAACTAACAATGAATTCGAGAAAAATTAATTTCAGTCCAGAGAAATAGAAATTTCAAACACCAAATCACAATTTCAATATGCCTAAATGTGGTATGGCATCTCTAAAGAAAAATGTACATCTGTCTACGTAAAGGATGCAGTTTTACAGGCGTGCCCACCCCCACAGCACACACACACACACAGGCAGATCTTTTGGACCTTGTGGCAAAATGGTGAAGAAAAAATATCAGTGAAAAGAAAGATGAAATTTATACCATCAAATAATCACAAGACAGTTCAGCATGCCTACCAAGATTGAGGAGCTAAGCGGTCAGTTGATATCAGTTCCTGTGCCAGATAACTTAACTTCATATCTTCCTTTAAATGCTGCAACAATGGAAAACGTCATCTCTACATATGTCAAGACTAGAGATCATCTAGGAGATATTGTCACAAGTTGAGAGTGATTAACATCAATGATGCAACTTGAGATATGTTATAGAATAGCCTTATATAAGCTTGTTATCAGTAGAGGCACAATTAGAAGGATCCTCACAACTATAGGCAAAATTACTCAGTAATACGTTTCCTTTCCTAGAGGTCCCAATTCTGTATTTAGAGAGCGAGCTATTTTTATGAACAAAATCACTGAATCATTTGTTACCCTCTGATTCTCATGAATAGAGACCACTCAATGAATCTGCAAAGGCTTCAAAGGAGAGTTGTAATGGAGCAAATAATAAAAGAGAAGACAAGTTAGGAAGTTGTAGTTAGTTCGAGTTGTTTGGCTAACCGCTTTCTTTATATATACCAATGTACCAAGGGACGAGGAGGACAAGTGTCTTGGTTGATGAAACTCTTCATCTAAATCTCCCCTTTTCCATCTTTTTTCATCTGTCTCTCTCTCTCTCTTTATTTTTTTAACATTCTCAAGGAGGCCATGTAAAAGAGAAATCAGTATGCTTTACTTAGCATTGGTATTATCTATGATATACTATATTTTACTCACATAAAGGACTGTTGAGTATATATCCATTCCTTCCAAGCTATAAGGTGTGATCTGACGAGCATGGCGAAAGGCCTGATCAGCTTCTAAATAATCAACTAATTCAAAGTATGCTTTTCCAACCTGCAATAGAACATAACAATGTAGCATTACAGAGTCAAATGCACCGCTAAAGAACTGACATAAGATATAACCGAGAATAGTGAGAGATGTATAGGAATTCAAGAACCTAAAGATTGAAAGAGTGCAATTGCATCAACAAAATGAATTGGCCCAAAGTCTGACATAAATGATTTCTTGATGACATCAATTTAGGTCTAGCTAGATAATCTAATCTAAGTTGTATAATTACTAAATATGTTTGTTTTATGCTTTTCAGTTTACTATATTCAAAAAGGGCAAATATATTGGTCTGATGCAGAGTTAGCGGGTTCATCAGGGGTTAAAATTTAAAAGAAGTTAGAAAGAATGCTAAAAAATTTTACATATATGTCTCCATATTTTCTATCAATCTCGTACAATCCAATCAAATTGAAATAGTCATACTCACCACCATTTTATTACATTGTGACCTTACTATTCAAGTTTTGCTCCACAGTACCAAGAGAACCACAATTTCAACAGATTTAAATACTAGAAATATCATAAAAGTACATCACAAGTTAGATTTAAAAAGAAAACAGTAAAAGAAAACAAAACACCAAATGCATCAGAATTTAGCCGTCATAAGTGAAGGCATGCTTTCATTTTCTAAATAGTCAACAGAATTGGAAAACATCATAAGAATGATGGTAAATCTTTAAATTGATGCTTATGTTACCTGAGAAAGAACCCAGCCTGTGTTGTAATGCTTATGTGGAAGTTTCATATATGTTTCTAGTGCATCCTGCACTACCAATACACAAACATGAGAAACAGTCAAGGAAAAGCTATTTTCCTCTCAGGTTTCTTCCCACTATTAAGTGGACAAATATATAAAAACTAACTTGCTACCCTACCAAAATAACCAATTAATACCTGGCATCTGTACAGGCAGGCAAGTCGATAGCCCTCACCAAGAATTCTCAATAGGCTTAATACTTCTGAGGCACCAGTGATGACTCTAGAAAGACTCAAGACTTGCCCACCAACTAAAAAATTCGATCCTTCTTGTTCACAAGATTTAGCTTCAATCACAGGAGATGAACTAGCAGTTGTTGAAGAAATATTTAAACGGGAATCATCGAGAACATCATTACGGCTCCCTAAACAATTAATAAACGAAGAGGTATTAGTAATGTAGCTCATAGCTACTTACTAATTATTAAAATAACTCCGGAGTTCTTAAATGATAGAGTAGATTTTTAAAAATCACAAAAACCAACAATATCACTGGAAATGAAAAATCCTTCAGAGGATAAATAATACGATCCAATCAGATATTATTCCAGCAAATTCTTTTCAAAATCTTTACCAATATTATATTATATTTTGCAGAGATTAAATTTCAACATAGGCATGGCAGCATATATATTTTGCTACCAGACATCACCCATTTAAGCAGAATCCATAGGCACTAGACAGTAGACAACAGCATCTGTGGTTTGAATTTGCATTCTGACAATATATATTGTAACTTGACTAGTATGAGCACTCTCTCCGGTTCAAAATATAAACTAAATTTTACCCATTTACGTTTATCAAGAAACTAGTTAAAATCAGTTTAAAATAATAAATATGCGAGGCATGTATTCCCCCCCCCCCCCCAATATGCCCTTATTAACAAATAGAATAAATAAAAGATGCAATAAACGAATAAAAAAGAAAAGAGAATATATAGGGGTAAAATTGGAAAAAACTCTTAAATGCTCAGACAAAAGTGAATGTTCTCATTTAAAAAAAAAAAAAAACCAAGCCTCTCCAACAAAGCTTATCTTATATTTTGAACCAGAGGGAGTACTAGAAACACTACACATCTGCATATAAATGGACACTAAATAGAGTTGAGAGGACGAAGATGGAAAGAAATCAAACAAAACAGAAGGGAAGACAAGGAATGAGAGTGGACAGATAATAACTTTTCTCCCCCTTGTTTGAATAAACATTCTCCTCCACATTGGAAGTACTCAATAATATAAAGGGGGAAGAACTATGGAAGTGAAAGGTTAGTTGAAAATCATTTATTATCCTCCCTTGCTCATTAATAACTCCCAAAAAATAAAAGGTTTTGATGAAAATTCCTTTAACTCCCCTTCCCCTCCTTTTTAATAACTTCCAATTAACCAATTAAGGTAGCATTATCCCCCATCAAACAATTCATTTGGGGACTGACAGCAGTCAGTCAATACCTCAAGAAATTGAAGCTTTTCTTGCTCCCTCCACCACTCTTACATCAAAAAATTAAAAAGGAGGATAAATGGATCATCAGTTAAGATGCAATTTGTAATGAAAATAAATGGATAAATTACTAGTGAACCAAAACAATAGTATTGGTGAAGGGAGACTTCTCCACAAATGCACATAAAACAGTTTCAATTTCATGTCTAAAGATTCACCACCTTCATCAATATTTTCATTGGCCCATGATGTCCCTCTACGAACTGTCGTGTTACGAAATGCCATGGAGCTGAACTTAGAACTTCCAAGATACTTAGAAGAGTTATTATTTCCATTTCCAGATACACCGGCTGCGCTAGCATTTACATTTACACTTGCATCATTAGCAAGTCTGGTGCTACGTCGAAGCCCTGAATCAGAAAATAATCTACCAGAAATCTGAAAAATGAAAGGCAAGAAATGGTTGAGAAGAAGAAACCTCAATATCAAGAAAGTATACATATAAATGCAAACATGCAGTACATTTTTTAAAAACACTAAGTTAATTGAAAGTTCTGCTCCCAATGTGCAGCAATTCAACTTGATGCAGAAAGTAAAAATACAGAGACTAGAAATCAAAGCTATAAGTGACCTGGTATGCTGAGGAACGAAGAATGCAGAAAAGCATGAACTTTGCAGTTGATATCAAAACCAATAAAGGAGAATCAATGGCATTATAAATCCAAAGCTAAACTCAGAACCCGAATAAAGATCATAAATAGATGAGATGTCCAATAATGCTGCTAGAGTAAATCTGACATTCCTCAAATGAAAGAAACTCCCAACTCTAACAAAATATTTGACAACAGATCGTCAGTTCACAAGTTAACCATATGCAAAAAGTGTCAAGTGCCACCAATGCCTGAAGAGATAAAAGCATCCACAATTAGCAAGGTACTTTAGACTCTACCACTTTTTTTTGTCCAAATTAATATCTCTACACAAAGTAACTTCCACAGGTTGATGAGTCTCTCATCTTTCTCCTTTTTTTATTAAGCAAACTTGCATAGGGAAGTAAAATAACAAAAGACTAATGGCTTGAAGGTCCTGAACCTTTCGTAACTTTCCCTCATCCACAAACTTTCTTCGAGGAGCTTGGATAGTTGAGTTCACTGTTGACTTGGGAGAACTGTCAGCACCAAGCGTGCTAAGGTTTGGGCCGTTGGGCTGCATATTCCTACACAAGGGGGGTGGGGCAACACCTGACAGCTGCAAAAACCATTTTAGAAAGAGGATATCAAGCACTAACATTAAACCAGTTGAGAAAGTCATGTTATCTTCCAATAAAATCATAGAAATCAACATCACTTTCAATTAACATTTCATACTATCATTTTTCAAAAATGTAGAAACAATGACTTGGTTAACAGTTTAATATTTCCACAAATTTTTCATAAATAATTCAATTAAAGCAAAAAAGCTGATCAAGAGACAATATCAAACTAGATGCAATTACCTGTGTGGCCATTGGAGAAGGGGTATTATAAAATGATAAGTTGGAAGGACCACTATTAATAGGTTGACAGGCAGTTCCTGCTACTATAGATGGCCCATTGTGATTTCCGGGAACATCCTTTAAATTATTGCCTTGCACGTGTTTTAAATGCCTTGGACTCATATCTTCTGAGGCAAAGTGTTTGGCAGAAACCACATTACGGTCCTCAGCTGATGTTTGCAGGCTTGGAGAGGCTGAATCATTTACATATTGTTTTTGTATTTGTTGAGCAGCTGCTTCACCAAAAAATGCAGTTGCTTCTTCGGCAGAACCTAACATTTAGAAAACAGAATTAGGATGATGGTGATGATCATGATCATGATGACAAAATATGCAAAGGAAAAAGAATCATTACTTTATTCATCCATTTTGACAAACAATGAAACAGTCATGTAATAAAAATAAGGTTATTTTGCATCAGTTAGTTCCATCTACATTCTGTGCATGGAATTTAAGTAAAGAACAGAACTATAGTGAATAAGGAGGCTTGCACAGAGGCAGAACATTCACAAATACAATGGGGTAGCCCCTCTTCCCGTTATTCATAATGACATGAAAATAGAAGTTAACTACAATATAGACTCATACAGATAATGGTAAAATTGTTCTTAAAAAAAGATAATGATAAACAATAACTAAGAATCCTAAATAAATAATAATAAACTCTTAACACTCTAAATGATGATGTACTTTTTCTAGATAAAAACTTAACTCCATATCCAGTTGAAGTTTCACTTTCTCAACACTCATTCTCAAGTTGAAGATTATACAAGCTTCAACTTGTTCTGAATAAATCCCAATTCATTATAGAAAATGTATCTAGAAGGGGACATCTAGACATTGCACTAAAACTCAAAAACTTGACACAGATTTCGTGATCCTTCTAACATCCTCGGTAGACAAACAACAGCTCCCATAATTGTTTGACCTGTTTCTCACATGCAGTCTCCCTAAGATTCTCTTAGCAGCTGCCCTCTTTGGCTACATCATCTAATAAATATGCTCCAACATCTATAAGTTTTCAGTGTACAAATCTTGAGTAGCACTCTCAAGCTCGCTTAAATGACCAAGGGTCTCAATCTGTCATGCCCAAAGAGTGCTGTTAATCAGATAGTAAGATGAGTATCATGGTGTCTTACCTAATATGCACAACTCATCATATGCAGACCACATCAGCGGATCCATTGATAGCGCCAACTTAAAATGATGTACAGCACTCCTCCTTCTGTCAGTGTACCTGAAAAAGGAAAATAATAATTGGAGGGAGCAAAAAAGGACAAACTTTGCAGAATGTATCTTAAATGGATGGATAGATGTAGAAATGTAGGAGGGGTGAATATAGCAAGAGATAAATTAAGAGTAGCAATGAATTCAGCTATTTAAAGACGAGGATCCAATGGAAATCAATCCCCCAAAAAGAACCAAAACAACATAGAGATTCAAAGCACAATACAAAATCCTTTATGGGAATTAAAAAAAAAACAAATATCTAAGAAACAAGAGATGGACAGAGGTCATAAAGAAGAACTGCGCAATTGAAAAAAAATTATTTCATTAGTAATCCGTTTTGTAGATAGGGGCACCTGCACAAGTCTTGAACACTATTGATCAAATCAGCATTTTAGCTTAGCAAAATAGATGCCCCAGAGCTGGTTAAAAGTCCAAGTTCCAAGTGTTCAAATCAAGTTATGCAATATACTCAAGAACATCATCAATGGTTTGCCTTATCCAGCAAGCAGTAAATTATCTGTCACGCTAAAAATATATAGTATCTCAGTGATAAACCTACCCATGAAAGCAAAAACATTTTGGTATGAATATCAATTCAGTCCCAAAAGCATTATAAACACCTTTTGTTGGATCAGTTTTTGAAATTCTCAAGCCTTATATAGATCGGTCGCATGAGAAAATGATTTTTGGGTTCACGATATGACTATCACTCCATTTAGCTTCTTGCACAGGCCAGATAGGAAAAACTGAGATTAAAGTTTCCCATTTATGAGCACCATGACACAATCTCAGGTACTTATTAGATTTGATTTAATGAAAATCAGGTTGCTTCCTCTAACACAAGAGTAAAAGTATGATTCACACAAATTCATCGACAGTTGATAAGATGCATGACCAACCTATAAATGAGTCCCAATAGATATTGACCAGCTGCACCATTTGGAACCTGCATAGCAAGACAGGCAACAAAAGTGAAATAATCATTCACCTTCTTGGATAAAAAGAAACCTAAAGCGGAACAATGTGCATTATAGAACCCATGTGATATAGAATAACGCATATGCATCCAAGTCCGTCTTTACCAGAAAGAAGGCAGACCAAGAGTATTAAAAAGGGAGAGAGAGAAGGGGGGGAAAAAAAAAAAAAAGAGGCAGACCTAGAAAAAGATTGGGGTAAAAGCCTATCAGTTAATGCAAAACATGTTCTTGCAGCCAGGAGACTATTCTGATTCTTATTTAAAAGACACATGAGATTATGTTAAACAAAATATCATATATGCATGATACCTCTGCACTAGGTTCATTAGCAGGGCATAATGCTGCTTCAGCTTCCCTAAGAAGACCCATTTGATAGCACGATATGGCAAACAAGTACCGGGATTGAGCCATTTGTGTTCCTTCAAGCAAAAAAAGAAAAATAAAGAAAGAAAGATGATAGGCAGATACAATAAGAGACACTGCATTGCAGGGACAGAAAACAAAGGAAAGAAAATGCCATCCCATATACATATAAAACAAATTAAAGTACAACAAACAAAAGAAGGATTTACATGTACAGGTGTATATCAAAAGTTGATTAAGACTCTTATACTGCAAGAAGCATACCCTTTAAGATATGGTAAGCAGAATAAGCTTGATTGCTCTGCAAATAACATCCAGCTAATAATTGCAAATTTGCCTGGACAAGGGAACGTCAGTTGTTAAAACTAGCACGAATAGGGAAAAAGATGACATTCTTCAGCACAAGAGAATGAATGAAAACCCAGAGAAAGGGCCTGAAACAAATTTCATTAGCAAGAAGTACAGATCACAAGGTTATAAGAGCGCAATTCTGTTCTAAAAACTATAAATTTTTTGAACAATGTTGAACGATGTGTCTCATTGTTGAGTGTAATTGAATTTAAGGTACACAGTGTTAGGTGACGTGCAGACAAGAGTTTCTATACAATAGCAGCTGCACAGAAAGTGATCTAGGGACTCTAGCCCTAAAGCTAAAATTTTTGAAGTAACAACCCATGTCACACCAAATAATCATTTGGATACACCAATACAGTTACGAAGTTCATTCAAGGTAGTTAAAAAACGCTAAGAAATCCTTCCAGTAGTACTGTAGTTGCCACTTCAAATTTTGGAGGAATAAAATCATCATCTACTACTCATTACTGTCAGAAAACTAATTAAGTTCTAAAAGCAGCAGATACTACCGATATAACCCTATTAGGCATATGACTAAACCAGAAACGCAGAGAGGCCAGGAGGCTAAAACGTAAGGAGCCAAATCTTCCCAAAACAACCACCACTCTAGAACCTCAGAAGTAACACTTGAATCAAATAGCTGGGTTATCTATTAGAACCATCGATCTCGAGGCATAAATATCGGCACCTTGCTTAGAGGCACAAAGGAATGAAGGGAAAATATTAAACATTGTAAAGTTCTTACTCTAAGCAACCGATTAACGATTAACGATTTCCACAATAAAACAAAATGAATGAACAGGCAATCACAAGGCGAAGTCCCACTGGTGAAAAACAAATATTATTTATATTTATGGGGGAGAGGAAAAACAAAGAATAGTGCCTCAGTGGGAAACTCGGCGCAGAGACGCTCGCATAAGAAGATGGCGTTGTTGTGCATGAAATGGCGAAGACTCTTCTGCACACAATCTGTGAGTATCCCTTCCATGGCTGGTGGGTTCGGAGGTGCGATTGTGTGTGTGTGAGAGAGAGAGAGAGAGAGAAGGGGGGATTCCGGTTTTTGTTGGGGCACCTGCTGGTCTCGGTTCAAATCTCAGGGTATTTGAAATTAGGTCACGTGACAGGTGAGCCATGAATTCTATACGTTGGAGAAAGGAAGAAAATATTTGTAAAAAGAAATAATAACAATCGTCATCATCGTGGCCTTCAATCATAATCATGATCTCATGATATTTTTAACTAAATAAATCAAATATATTTAAAAAAACTAGTTATGTGATTAAAATTATCTAAAATTAACGCAATTGTTATAAAAATAAAATAAATATATACTGACGGAAGGTTAAAAAAATTATAAAACTAGAAGAGAATTGGAGAGAAGATAAATGAGAGGGAATATTTTGGGAAAATGACAACAAAATACTACCTAAATTTCAAAAAGACAAATAAGACACTTGAATAAGTAAAATGACATATAGAGGACTAGGTACCAATCTGGAATTCAGATTTTTGGCCAAAAGACCGAAATGCCGCCCTGTCTGAAAGTGAGAGAAAGGAGAGAGGAAGACCGACGCTGATGAAATACGGGAAGAAGGAAAGAAGAATGTTGGAAATGCTATTATCTTACTCCTTCGCATCACCATTCTGTAAGATTGTTGATTTTGTGGGTTTTGTTTATGGGAAAGAGGATTTGTAGTAAGAGAGGGAGTGAACCTATGGGAAAGAAGTTGATGGCGGGATTTGGATTATTCATTTTTGTGGCTGCTTCATGGTGAAATAGGAACAGATTATTGCATTTGAGGGTTTATATTTAGTATTCGGTGAATGATGAAGCAGAAATCAGAAAACAATGGCAAGCAATTACGTAACGTAACTGCTGTCATATGCCTGCTGGTTTTTGGTAAATCCCATTACGTGAATGGTAAATTTTACTATACATGTAGTTAATTATGAAAGTTAATACATTGCCCTGTCTGAAAGAACTCGTACTCCCTGAGATTGTCGTCGCTGAAGTAACATCAACTGTAATACACAAGTAGGAAGCTTAAATATTATTCTTCATAGAGCATTTTCGATGGGTTCCCACAGCTTAAAATGTTATTGCCTAGCATTTCTCTTTTTGGTTCTGTCTCTGTTCTTCGCATAAAACCATTTTCAGAGAATGTGAAGCTGTCTGGTTTTTTAGTATTATTAAACCATTTGTCCTGAATTTTACAAAACACATATTGTGATTTACAACTTTTGTAGTGAAAGTGACTACTTTGTTAATGGGTTTTGCAACCTGTTTTCAGGAGATAAACAACTTGTTTGTAAAAACTAATAAAATTCCACGCTAAATTTGACAAAACGTATAGTGGGATTTACAACTTCCGTAGTAAAAATGACCACTTATTCAATGGGTTCTGCAACTTGTTTTTAAGGGATGGGCAACTTGTTTCTAAAAACTAATAAAATTTCATACTAAATTTGAGAAAACACATAGTGAGATTTACAACTTTCGTAGTGAAAATGATCACTTCTTCAATAGGTTTTGTAACATGTTTTCAAGGGATTGGCAACTTGTTTCTAAAAACCAATAAAATTCCATGCTGAATTTTACAAAACATATAGTTATATTTACAACTTTTGTAGTGAAAATTACCACTTCTTAAATGGGTTTTGTAACCTCTTTTCAGGGGATAAGCAACTTGTTTCTAAAAATCAATAAAATTTCACGCTGAATTTTACAAAATACACAGTGAGATTTACAACTTTTATAGTGAAAATGACCACTTATTAAATGGCTTTTGCAACCAGTTTTCAGGGGATGGGCAACTTGTTTCTAAAAACCAATAAAATTTCACGTTGAATTTTACAAAACATATACTGGGATTTACAACTTTTGTAGTAAAAGTAACCATTTTGTTAATAGGTTTTGCAACATATTTTTGGAGGATGGGTAACTTACTTTTCACCACCAATAAAATTTCACACTGAATTTTACAAAACACATAATGTGATTCACAACTTTTATAGTAAAAGTGACTACTTCTTCAATGGGTTTTGTAAACCTGTTTTCATCAGAAAGGCAACTTATAAGCATAAATAAATCATTCAGTGAACGTGCACCTGAAGTACGTCACAATAAACATTGAACTATTAACTTTCATAATTAACTACATGTATAGTAAAATTTACCATTCACGTAGTAGGATTTACCAAAAACCAGTAGGCATATGACAGCAGTTACGTTACGTAATTGCTTGCCATTGTTTTCTGATTTCTGCTTCATCATTCACCAAATACTAAATATAAACCCTCAAATGCAATAATCTTGTTCCTATTTCACCATGAAGCAGCCACAAAAATGAATAATCCAAATCCCGCCATCAACTTCTTTCCCACAGTTTCACTCCCTCTCTTACTACAAATCCTCTTTCCCACAACCAAAACCCACCAAATCAACAATCTCTACAGAATGATGATGCGGAGGAGTAAGATAATAGCATTTCCAACATTCTTCTTTCCTTCTTCCCGTATTTCATCAGCGTCGGTCTTTCTCTCTCCTTTCTCTCACTTTCAGACAGGGCATTTCGGTCTTTTGGTCAAAAATCTGAATTCTAGATTGGTACCTAGTCCCCTATATGTCATTTTGCTTATTCAGGTGCCTTATTTGTCTTTTTGAAATTTAGGTGGTATTTTGTTGTCATTTTCCCGAATATTTTTCGTTCATTTTCAAAGTGCCAAAAATATAATAATACAATTATTGATATTATTGTTTTGTTCTTGTTTGATCATAGTATGTAGAAAATTAATTTTTATGGTCATATCATATTATTCATCACATTTCTTGTTATTTGAGAAATTTTAATGAGGTATTTACAATATCAAAATATTTTTTTAGTCTAGAGATTATCTTGGTGCATCCAAATTTTTAATTCTTCAATACTTTAAGCTCTTCAATTTCATAGAAGCAAATTAAAAATTATATTTTAAATTATATATATTTAAATTCTCGTAGTACTTTATATGTATTTAAATAGGAAAATTTTGTTTAAGGACCGCATACAGAATTAATTTCAGTGAGCCCCCAAAACTTTCCAAAACTTCACTGCAGGACTTAGGGGGCAAAGTAATATTAATTTCAAAAATGAAATGACGCTATTGCCCCTTGTAAAACTCCCTCTAAAATTTGCAAATAAGGGCCAAAAAACGATGGTCAGAAAGTCTTCCCTCTCCCTCTATGCGAATGAGATCCCACTCTGCCAAAACTCTCCTCTCTCCCTCTCTGTGAACGTGCTACCACTATGCGAAAACACTCCCTCTCCCGATCTGCCAACGTGCTACCACTCTTCCAAAAATCTTCCCTCTCCCTCTCTGCAAACGTGCTACCACTATAGGAAGACTCTTCCCTCTCGCAATCTGTGAAAACTGTTGGATGTGCCCCCCAAAAATTCTGTCACCTTCATTCTGCAAGTGTGTGGTAGTCACTACAACCAGAAGAAGAACAAGACGAGGCCAATAAAGGAGGAAACTTGCAAGGCTATCGACAAAGAACGAAGAAGGAGGGCGAGAGGAAGTCACTGATTTCCTTTGGTAAGCGTCATGGTCTACATTAAATGTAGTAAATTTCTTCGATTTTGTTTTCATGGTAGGTTAAGGAAAGAATGACCCACTGAAAGGTGGGTGTGTTTGGTAATGACATTTGGGTTCTAACCTTAAGAGTTTGTGTGGGGACCAAGTATAAATTTATTATGAAGGGAAAAATTAGTACTAGTAGTTAATTGTATTGATATACTCTTTGTAGGCATTTTGTAGGAACTAAAAAAAGAATTTGGGGGGGGGGAATGTTGTCGTATGGATTAGGCAAATGAGTGGGTTTTCTTTGGTTTATCCCTTTGATTGTTGGAATGTAACATTTAGTGGACTAACAATGATAGTTAGTCAATTGATGCGAAGAATTAGTTCAATAACCATCTGTATGTAACAACTTCATGTTTGTTAGAATCTGAAAGCTCAGCAATTTACATGAAGAAATAGTTATTAACCACTTATACGTAATAGTTTCATGTTGGTTAGAATCAGATATTTAGTGGCCTTAGAATGAAATTAGGGAATTTACACCAAGAATTAGTTGATTATCCACTTAGCTTATGTGTAACGGTTTCATATTTGTTGGAATCTGAAAGTTAGACAATTTATATAAAGAATCAGTAAATTAACCACTTGTATGACACAATTTCATGTTGGTTGGAATCTGATATGTAGTGGCCTCACAATAAAAATTAGGGAATTTACACTAGGAATTAGTTGATTATCCACCTAACTTGTGTAACGATTTCATGTTTGTTGGAATCTGAAAGTTAAGCAATTTATGTGAAGAATCAGTAAATTAACCACGTGTATTACACAATTTCATGTTTGTTGAAATCTGATGTGTAATGGCCTCAATAGAAATTAGGCAATTTACACCAGGAATTAGTTGATTATCCACCTAGCTTCTGTGTAACGGTTTCATGTTTGTTGGAATTTGAAAATTAGGTAATTTACATGAAGAATCAGTAAATTAACCACTTGTATTACACAATTTCATGTTTGTTGGAATCTGATATGTAGTGGCCTCACAATGGAAATTAGGCAATTTACACCAAAAATTAGTTGATTATCCACCTGGCTTCTGTGTAATGGTTTTATGTTTATTGGAATCTGAAAATTATGAAATTTACATGAAGAATTAGTAAATTAACCACTTGTATTATGCAATTTCATATTTGTTGGAATTTGATATGTAGTGGCCTCACAATGGAAATTATGCAATTTACACCAAAATTAATTGATTATCCACCTAGCTTCTGTGTAACGGTTTCATGTTTGTTGGAATCTGAAAGTTAGGAAATTTACATGAAGAATCAGTAAATTAACCACTTCATGTTTGTTGGAATCTGATATGTAGTGGCCTCACAATGGAAATTAGGCAATTTACACCAGAAATTAGTTGATTATCTACCT